CATCAATGCGTATATATACATATACGCGTCTATGCCACTATATATATATCACCCCGTTTCCTGTCATCTGCTTTGCAAATGCTGAGCTGCTCCTGTAACCTTTCCTAACATTTGCAACAGATGGCCATTTTAATGAAAATCAAATGAGCACAGACCGGGATTATTCAAATTGGTTCGGTATATTTACTAATGGAAGTTGTTCTTTAACGTGTCAAATAATTATTTGTTTCTTATGCGTGAACTTGGAAACCCAGATTAAGGGCCTTTGAAGGAACAAGATGGCAGAGTTTGAGTCATTCATTTCAGAATCTTTGCATGAGGCATGCACTTGAATCGGACTCCTCGCTTTATACATTAATCTCACTTAAACTGCGAAAGTGAAGTAGTCTTGTAAAAGAATGGATTCACTACTTTCATAACTTGCCTTCAACTAAAACCCCACGCAAAAAACCACTCCCCGAAAAATAATTACCCAAAATGTTAAAGAGGCGGTGCCTGCTCATATAATATGGTTGACGCTATCGAAGTATATATATTGCCTAGTTTTCGCTATATCCTCTATCAAAAAGATAAAATGCTGAAAAAACGACTCTGGCTTTGTCATTAATCTCGCTTCCTCGTCTTTTTCATATGCATGTTCTTTCATACTGAAGTTTCTGCAAAGACTAGGTACAGTGCTGAAGGAATGGTATGAACTGATAGCAGGCGGAAACTGTTGTGTCCCTCTTCAATTCCGCCTGTGCAGAGCATCAGAGCAAATGTTCTCCGAATAGAAAGATATTCTACTAATGTTTTTATTCCGGTCTACAAAGACGCTTATTTGTTTTCTTCGTATTCGTGATCATTGAAAAGTGCACGATAGTTTACTGGCTTAAGGCTAAAACAATTGAATACTGGACAGTTTAGAATGAAATAAGTTACTCCGAAATCGAGTTTAGGCTTTTACTTCGAATTAGTTCGGAAATAACGATTACCCTTTTGATTCCACCGGAGAATAGCGTGCGAACTTTGAGTAAAGTTGCCAAAACAAGCGTTTTTGGGATCTGCCTGAAAGGTAGTAGGAGTGATTGAGTCGAATTCCATTAGCTCCACGGGCTTAACTGCGTAATATTCCCAAACATGTTGTCAGTTATTTACAAGTACGCAGCACGGGCACTTTCTCCAGGCCTAGGCATATTTTTCGCCGATTTTATGTCAAAGAATGACGCAGTTTCACTGATTTCTATGCTGTCTTTTGGCGAAAACCGACGCTGAATTAATTTTGTATCCCAGTATCCATGAAATTTAAATGTCATAACAAAATAAAAGTGACTTTAATTATGTTTTCCACAGTCTGAGCACTTTTTTCCTGTGTTTATGATAAGCTCAAACTTATCAAAAGCACCTCTCATCTTAATCAACTAAACAATTCCTTACATAGTGGGAGGGATGACAGTTGCACTTAGTATTGCTATGAAGACAACCCATTGTCCGGTTCACTTAACTTAAGGTTTAATATATGTCTTTAGAGTTCATCAATACCTGAACTCAGATACCCCCCAAAGGCAGGCTGCCTTCCGACTGACTTAGCTTGCTTCATATATATGGCAAAGGTGTTATACCGTACTCTCGACATAGTTACCAGCTATAACCTCAGTGATGTTTCTGTTACTACGTGAAACATTTGCAAGCGGTTCGGCTTTCAGTGGGTATGAGCCTAAAACATTTTGTATCCACTCAATGTCCTACAGTTACTTATTTCTTACATTATGAACACCCCTTACTTTTCAAATAATGACGTTGATGGGAGGGTACACTTTCTACGCAAAGGATTAGTTTAACCCATTACCTCTCGGTGATCTCATATGAGATCACCGAGAGGTAATGGGTTAAGGTAAATACTGTGCACCCTGTGCCTCTATCACCCCTTTCTGCTATTGTGTCTGATTATGAGTTCAATCGAGAATCCAAAAAGTCAGGCCGATAAACTTCTTGTTTCAGCGATCGTATTACCTCTTTCTGTAAGCTTACACAGTTGGGAAAATAGTTCCCGCAGCTGGTGTGAGACTAATATCCGACATTCCTTACTAGTATTTGTGCCGTCCGTGTGGCAAGGCATTCATTATTTATATGTTTCTGTCTGCTTATTGACATTTTATGAATAGTACATTGGTATGCTGTAGTTGTTGGCGGATTTAGTTCGTATATTCGCGGTAGGTCATCCAGCGTTCGTTCTGAAGCGTCTCTGACTTCCGTATGCCATTATTTTTCCCCTGTGGAACCCTTACATCCAATTTAAAGTCTTTTGACTTTATTTTTTCTAGTTTTCAATCCTCCCCTGGCATCATTTTCACTGTTGATGGGTTACATTCTGTAAACCCTTCCGTCATTCACCAGCAAACGTAAAGTGCGCACTGCCATTTAAAAACAATATTTGTTTACAAAAGGGTAGAAAATCCGAAATATCACATTTTCAAAGCATTGCCTGCAAATAGTGGACTTCAAAGCTTGCTCGAAAGTTTTGAGTTCACCTAAATAACGGCTAGTGGTACTTTAAAAGTAGTTCTGGCTCCTTAATAGCCCCTAAGTTGAAAGTCAGTATTTTCCCGACTGCGGTTTATGTGCGAGCCATTTCACTAATCCCAGGGGGATAGTGAGAGCCAGACTACAGCTGCGAATATCATGAAAGATTGTTGTAAAGTTCTGAATAGTCATAAACGGTTATTCAAGAGTAATTTCAATCTTTCAGCTTTTTAATTTCCTCAGCAATTAATTATTGAACTTGGAGTAGATCAGCATAGTCATGGTCTACTGGCGAAATTTAAAGTTAATATTTAGGTCAAGGTCCAGAAGCCACTGCTGGATAGCCATGTAATATTCACAAGCTCTCGTCAGGCAGACAGTAACGTAGGTACGAGCTAAAAGCCTAGATATGTGTTTCACTGGTATGCCGCTATTGTTTGACACAGCTGTGAGGGGTCCGGTCCATCACTGGGTCACCAACGTTCTCTGTGCGCCTGTAGACCTTGAATTTTCTAATCTACTCCAAGCTGAAACTTAAAAACTGGAGTATCTTCTAGCGAGCACACAAGGAATGCTGGGGGCAACTGATGTGCCAGACAGCCCACAGCTGTGTGAAGCACCTGCAGAATACCGGCGAAACACGTGTCTGGGCTGTTATCTAATATTTGGCCTGCAAGTACGGTGAATAAGTGGATAAATTGTAATTTCAATATTAAAAAATAACAAAATATACCTTTCAGATGTTAGTGCTTTCCTAGAAGCACAAACTTACTTAACTAAGCATCCGAATCTGTGACTGGAAGATGCGTCTACATAGATAATCATTCAGTCAGGGAAGGTATGGAAGGAATGTTTGGAAAACCTGCCATTCGAATTTCAGTATAGCATTGTATGTAACCAATATTGGGAGTTTTGAAGCATCTTTTCCCAGGTGCAAATTGGAAGATTGTGTATATAGCAGAATTTAACCGAACCATAAATTTCGCGAGTGCTCATCAGCTGCGTCCTT